TTTAATTACAGTATTATGAAGCATTTCATTGACGCATGTTGTAAAATATTAATCGGTATTCAAGTATCGTTTTAAGTGAATGTTATTAGATAAACATTATTATTATATTATATGCGAAACATTGTAAGGTGAAAGAAGGGCAAATGATAGCTATATAAAAGTGAACATATCTAGTCTATACTAGTTACACGTCAAGTCTTCTCCGTTAACGTTCAACCCTAGGACTCTCAAACATCCCACGAGGCCGACAATTTCCGACCACAGGACCATCGAGGCCAGAAGGCTATAAATCCCCAAATGCTTCAATTTAACAACAATAATAAATTTTAGCAGACACTGTAAACGACTTATCTGCAGACTTAAATGTTTCGTCCAACATATTATCTTGTTTACGTGGACCAAAAGAATATGGAAGGCAAAAGGGCATAACACAACCTCAGAAAACCATTAATTCATATTTACTGCCACAATATTTATGAAACATAAAAACTTTATGGTGAAGTAGGAAGGCTGCAGCAGTATTCTAACGCGCACACTAAGTTTTATGGGTCACCTTAAATGGTGCTTTAATTACACATATAAGATTTACTGATGGTTAATAAGAATGGTGAGTAACTTCTAATTACATCCAGAACTCTGGGAAAATGATAGCGGAATACGCCAATGACATTTAAGCAACTTATTTTGATATAGAATTAATGAAAAGTCTCTTTTCAAGTTTCTGACGTTAATATTTTCCATTCGAGAAATGCTCTAATAGTTTCGAGTCGCACCAGAGCTCTGTAGAGCGCGCGCAAAACACAAATGAGAATGAATGTGCCTCGAATGGTTCAAGTGACGCGTGATAATTACAGTTTTCTTAAATTATTGAAAGATGTGTGTGTTTTTTCTACAAGATATTATAATTTAGTGTCTCATTGCGATACTTTTTCTTTTATTCATCTTGAACTAAAATAAACCCCATAATTCATTTTTTGGGTAGGTACTAACATGATTGTTATCATGCACTCAAATCTCATTTATGTCATAAGTTTACATAAATGGGATTTAAGTGCGCATTAAGGGAAATTTAGCTTTCTTCCAACGTTGTATGTTTGACATGTTCGTAAACAGATGTTGTTAATGTAAGCATGTGTCGTGTTTCCGTCTGTGAGTTTCGGTAGAAGTTTGTGTAATAAAAGCTTATAAAGGAAACATATTTCAACAATATTCTTCCCAAACTTGAAGCGCTAACGTAATCATATAATCATAAAATATTTTAAAACTTTTAGCTCATTAAAAATTGATACCGTATAAAATAATAGACTAGAGCACACCGCCATTTAATTACGCCGAGAGCAGGAAAGTATCAATATCTCAAAATCTGTACTTAAATTATCAGACTTTGATTTTTCAGTATCTATCTAATAAAATTAGATGAAGTATCAAGCTTCGAGCTGGGACAAGCAATTAGAGAGATATTCATAAAATATATCCGTCCTCAAGAAAATCAATTTCACTGTCTAAGTCCCTGAATCAGAGCAATTATTTCGTTTTATGGCAGAATGAATGTTTAGCCAGCTGTATTCCTTAAACATTTATAAATGTTTTGTTGTCTTAAGAAATATAAGGAAGCTCTTAAGAAATAAAATATAAACTAGAATAATACTAAAGTGGAAGAAGATGAAGCGTAGTGCTTCCTGAGATAAATCCTTTCTTTCCATTTAATTGTTCTAGCGCAAAAAATGAATATCTAAAGAAGAGAATAAATAATTGCATCATTATCGGGAATTTAATCTTTGGTCTTATTTGTTAACAATAGGCCTTCGTTACCGGCGCAGCGGGCGGTGGAGTGTAGCCAACAGCCACTTTATTTTAAAAGCTCCATTTTTCTCTTGAACAAAGATGCTAACAAATAGAGTTCTTACAACTACTCTTTACTCTATACCACCAACATCATATTTGACGCATTTTCCTTTTATGAGAATTGCGGAAAGGACAATTTTATATCGGATTCCATTCTGATTTATGCTTACTCAGAATGAAGGAAATTCCCAACCTTATGGCTACCAAGCGTAACCGAAAATGTGAATGAGACAATCCTTGTCCATTTGAAGTAAAATGCTATAGAAAGTTGTGCAAAATTGACGAGTTTTATACAAAAATATTCTTCGCTCTCTAAAAATAAATAGCAATATTCACGCTCCATATACTGAGGCCGCATTAAACTCATTTGTAGGTCTATTGGATGTTAGCCGATTATAAATTTAGGGGTCACTACTTCGTCGATATTACCTATAGATATAGTCGATATTATAGGTACAATTATTAAGTCAGCACATTTACGAACTAAACACGACTATGTAAATTGGCATCATTTATTTGGTTTACGCGCGTAAATACCAGTTATTACTCTGGAATGTTTATTTACAAACCTCACATAAACTGAAGGGATATTTGTGAGTTGAATTCATCAATTATATACCGGAAAAGTTTGGACCGTATTAGGCGATGTGTCAATGTGACATCGGGAAGTGTCAACGTGTTACGGACGGTGACAGTTTGTTTGTTTAGGCCCATGGTGCTTTTCACATTGCTGTCGTCCTCCAAAACGTGAATACGAATAATAAAAACTTTACTGGTATTCTATTTAAAAGGATTTATTCGTCAGTATCGCCTTACGTCGGTACAGGGCTCTGCCGTCGTCTTTATTCGACAGATATTAGTTTCCCCGCGGCATCTTCTGCAGAGCTTTCCGCGAACGGCGCGTTCTCATTAGTAAGAGTACGGTTACTTTTTGACTTACGTCGAGCTGGTTGTTTGTTTTTCTGATTCTTTAAAATGAAAATTGATGTTCTTTTGCTTTAAAAGTAAACACCACAAAAGGTTGCTTCTTTTATCTTCATTGAATGAGGAATTTTGTATACAACTCGTTGCTGGACTACATATCTGTGTTATTTATGCCTAACACTTCCATTAGACAGTAATTAATGCCTCCCAGAGAGTAAATGACAAAATTAATTTGACCCTAATTTACATAATACACGTCTACGATCGCTGGGATATGACAAAATCGCTTTATACACGTTGAAATTTCGTCGGATCTCAATCCGAGAGAGGGTGATTGTTCTCATTAAGCTTTTGTTCTGTAGCTTTTTGAAATTCGCCTTTAATGAATACTTTGAGTCGAGGCTAAGTACGAACGAAAAAGGCACAATTGTGCATTTTTAACAATAGCTAACTCTCGTAATTACAGTCCTTTAGCCGATCGACGTAACTTGTACCCTGTCATTACGAAACGAACTGTTTGAACGTACTTTCGATTTAAGAAAGAAAATAAATTCGCTAGCATTTTACGGAAAATATTTGTGAATAGCTTTTAAAGATATCTTTAACATAAGCCCACAACATTAACAGACAACGTTCTCTTTGTGAATAGTAAATGGCCAAAACCTCGGAATCATCAATCTACGCGGCAGCAACTGTGGAAAATGGTGCTGGTAAAATACAAGACATGAAAAATCTCTTCGCTATTGGTCGACTGGATACAAATAGCTTTTATATAGTGGCCCGCTTTATAACCTGCAGAGTACCTACGCTTTGGACTACGGCCGTGGAAATCAATATCTCGCCTTCAATAGCAAACATTACCTATTCAAATGAACGACTAAAAATGATCGTGCAGTCGAAATTTCACTTCGAAAGTCTTACTTTTAATTACTCTTTCAAATTGCAGCCTTACAACTTTAGACTGTGTCATCGCGAATGTTTGTCGTGCTACTAATATCCTGTATATCTGCTTTTTTTTAGACTAAGTACTACTACTATCTCTTTGTTTCTTTTTTATGAAATGTGTGATAGCCAAAAATGTATATTCGTCCATTCTCTATATTAACATACGATTAACCTACCTACTAGCTTTTGCCCGTGACTTTGTTCGCGTGGAATAGTGACTTCGTGCAGATTTTTGGTTAAAAAACTATCCTATGTCCTTTCTAGAATTCCAAACTATGTCTGTAAGTACCAAATTTCACACAAATAGGTTCTGTAGTTTAGGCGTGAAGAAAAGACAGACAGACAGACAGAAAAATGCGAAAGTAATTCTGTCTGTCTGAAGAATTACTTTCGCATTTATAATATTAGTTTGGATTTTTTTTATCTTATTAACCCTATAATCGAGTATTCGGACTATATAAATCTGAATGTTATTATTAATTGGTCGATGCCGGTAGTTAATCAAACAATTTCAATCAAAACTTTATCAAGAAATTCGGCGAGCAATTTTTTGGCAAATAGCTTAAAGGCCGATACCAAAGTAAAGTTACAGAGCTCAATATTTCGCCAATCTAAACTTTGAAACTGCTAATGTCGACGAAATGTAGAAGATAAATTATTTTATTACTTAAGTTGTACAGCACTAAATAAGAAAGGAAATAATTTAAATTATGAAGACTAATTCTCGCCTTAGGAACATTATGCATTAAAACCCTGGATTTGATAAAGTTCTGAATAGGGCCAAAATTCATTCAGGATAAGAATATTAAAGTTTGAAGAATACTTACTTCGTATTATTGTATTCATTATGTGTGAGAGTGCAGGAGAAATATGATTCGGCACGAAAAGGTCTGGTTTGACCGGCGTGATAGTAAACTAACACGTTGTAACTCGCCGTGTGAGTGAGGTTACTAGAGGCACAATCCTTCCCCTCCCCTCCCCTATCCGCAATCCTCAAATCCCCTAGCCTTAAATCGCAACACACTATTAATAAATCCTTGTGTATCACGAGTTTCCATAAGCGGCGCCAATTGAAAATTTCTTAACACCGGTGAAGCCGCCTGCTCGTTTGCCGACCTATATCATAATCATAAAATGTTGCCTAAATAAAATCAGAAAATAATGGTTACTTTACTGAAAGTATAAGTTTTGTATTGTGCTAAAATTAATCGAAATCTAGATTTTAATGTCAATGATTTGTTGTTTCAGGTGGAGGGGGGTGAGCGCGGGGTGCGCGGTGCGGGGGGATGCCCGTGCGCAAGGGGCTGCTCGCGCCCCAGAACACCTTCCTCGATACCATCGCCACTCGCTTCGATGGCACACGTAAGTCCTACAAATTATATACCTACCAAATTTTTATCTTAACTACTATCTGCTTGCCCCTGCTTCGCGTGGGAATGCAAATATTTTCACGTTCTTTATTTCCCAATTTTCCCGTCTACTTTTCTAAAATTTCTCACATAAATGCCCTTCTCCTGACAATACTAAACACTAAAACAATGAATTGGAAATATTGGTCCAGGCGTCGTTCAGTTATGCTCTTACCAACACAATTTGCGATATATTTTTATAAATATAGATTTTAACTAAAAGCAATGTGAAAGTATTTTTCAATTAACTAAAAATAATATTGTGCCTCACGAGGTAGGGATCAACCCAGATTCTGTATTCCAAAAGTTTAACAATGAAAATCAGCAGCATTTTAAATCAGTATCCAAAAAAAATTATATTAACTACCTTTTATATTAACTACCTCTAACTTTCTTCTTTTGCAACTTAGTGAAACCAAACATACCTAGTGGTATTTAGCACTTTAATTTGTATATAACCTCATTAGTCTTTAAAACCTCATTTCACATCTTTATTCCTATAACACTACTACGTAGGTGTACCTTAATAATTTGCAACGAACGTTGTATCTTTATATTATTATTCTCATACATATTTTCACCATTTTCTTCACAGCGAAACGCTCAGCGCGCTTTATATTAAAGAACATATTACATTTTAGATCATAACTACGTAACGTGTTGTTTACCTAAGTGCTGTTAGGTATAGCTTAAACCGTCCCTATTATTATTTCAGAGCGCAGCCGAGATTACGGCACAGCCACGGTTCAGTGCATTCATGAATTGATCGTTCTCTAGAATTGGAGCCGTCTTATGACCTTTAGGGGTAAACGTAGCGACCCTTACAACTTGTAGCTTTGTTTCGTAACGAACTTTTCAAGTAACTTATCTTGTTAGACAAAATGTGATCATTGTATATTTGTGAAAAACGTGTACTTATTGTTCTTTGTGGAATAGTTCCGCAATCGGATAGACGGATTACCTGATGGTAAGCAATCATCGCTGCCATGAAAATTCGCAACACCAATTTAGTTACGATTGCGTTGCCGGCCTTTTGAGGATTGGGGTGTCGAGTATTTAAGAAGTAACCTCACTCACACGTCGAAAAAACGCTGTAGTTATTTGCCGCCGGTTTTCTGTAAGGCTGTGGGTATCACTCCGGTCGAGCCGAACCATTAGTGCAGAAGCTTAGCCCTTTTCCTCCACACTTTCTCGTACTAAAGTGCAAAATATTTGATTTGGGACGGGCTGTCCAGCTTTCCATCGTCATAAACAATCTGTTATCACATTTCACTGGTTGATATTAAATACTCATGAACATGTTCGAAATATCGAAAACCAACCACTGTTACAAATACAATATTAGTGGCTTATGTTACAAGCCAGTGGTTCGTGTAAAGCAAACAGTTTTCCGTGTTATTGACCCAAAACCAGTGTTGATAGGAAAAGCCCAGAAAATGGACGTAACGAACAAACAGCGTTAAACACATAATGCCATTGGAAATTGCTTCGACACCCTTGTACACTTCCACGTGATAAACTGAACCAAGTTGAACACCTTTATAATTGAACAAAACTTTTCTTTCATCCTTCCAAAACTTTGTAACATTGTTACCTTACACCACTTACAATTCTATCTAATTTTCACTAAGACTTTTCATAAGATGAGATTTCCTGTACAAACTTGAACATTTACTCTAGAAAAATATCTTCGAGCTACAGAAAACTGTTATTATAATGAAATAAAGCAATTCCGGTAAAACCCGCCTTGTGGAATAATACAAGAGGTGTTCCATTTCTGCTTAGTCTTAGGAGAATAGAAACGTGATGTGTTTAAATGTATTAGATATGTAATTGTAGGTCGGGAGCGGCCATAACTGACGTAGCAATGTACATAATTGTTACTAGTTGAACGCGCAGACAGTGCATCTAAATCTACATTATCTTGTGAAGCCGTCGTGTGAGCGAACTACGTAATAATATAATTAACATTTTCATTCCCGCTAGAGGAGCAAAGCGGTATAACATTTAACATATTTAAACGCAGACGTATTTAGCGCAGCCGAGGGAATTAATCGATAAATTAATAAACTGCATCGGACACTTTTATGCAGTGCCAAAGATGTATGTATATAATGAAAATTGATACTAAAATATTGCCCTAATGTTTTGATGAAGTCTTCGATTGTTTACCTTTCAATATATCTGTCGAAACACGAGAATCGACTGAATGACTTGCCATACCTACTCAGCGAATGTTATACTTAGTTGCATGTTCGTCTTCCTTAAATGACCGACGGATTTAGACAATGGACAAAGTATTATTAAGGTGCTCGATTTAGAAAGTATGCACCTGTTTACTTAATTTCGTTGGTCGAGAAAAGACCATACTCTTTTTGAATTGGCTCGTCACATTGCTTGTCCCGCCCTGTGTGGGGCGAGAGGGCGTGTTAGACGCTTCGATACTGACTAAAAATCATATTGTACCTTCTTCTGCCACGAACGAACCACGATCCCTTCAAGAATTGACTTACCTACCAATATTTTAACTTAAATAAACTATATACATATAAAAAATATTCTTCTCCATGCAAATTGATCGATTACCTCTTCCAATTTGTAAGGGGAAATAAATTTATTTTTCAGATTTCGATATTGGTCCCATGGGAAAAGTTGTCTTATTTGAGCACCAGAATCAGGTCCTTGAATATGTCCCTCGTTCAAAATAACATCCTGCATAGCAACCTGCATATGTATATTTTAAGCAAACTATCTTATAAAGTACAAGTATAAAGAGCACAAACTTAAGTAACAGCGGTACACAACAACAATATTTGAGAGTAGTGCATTTAACTGTAGTTTACTTTGTGTACAAGTAGGAGTTTGCTATACTTCAGCAACTTTCAAAACAATGGCGCAAACACAATTAGTTGTTCGAAACAGTAAGGTTATGTTAGTTACTCGTAGAAGACTTTATACAACAAGTTACTGTGAGACTCCAGGGTCTCTGAATGCTCATAAAGTTCCAAGAAAATTTCAATTTGAATAATTATTAATGTTAAACAACAATAATTTTCTCGTCATTTTGTTCGTAGCACACTTTATAAAGAAAAATCACAAACTTCACAAACTATAATATTATAAATTCGAAAGTAACTCTGTCTGTCTGTCTGTAGTAAAGTAACTTTATGTGAATCGAATTCTGTGAAATTTGGTACAAACATAGTTTGGAACTCGAAAAATGCCATAGTATAGTTTTTATACCAAAAATCTGCAAGAAGTCACTATTCCAAGCGAACGCAATCGCGAGAAAAGGTTAGTGTAACAATAACGTAACAAAAAATACATTTCGATATCAACAAAATGGCAAAACAAATAAATAATGGTAACAAATGTTTTTTCGAGTTACTTTTGGCTGTTGGGTGTCCTGTAATACACTTGTTACCTTAAACTGTCTCTTGTTAAACCATAGCTGTCCATTGCCTAAAGCGTCAACAAGAGTCCTTTTCAAAACTTTTCGAATAAAAATTCTTAAACAGGAAGAGAAATGTAAAACGTCAAAATATCATACTTCCCCTTGTTTCTATCCTTCCAAGCTCATTTCCTACATAACATCAAGTTTTATTTGCCAGCCCGGCAAATAAAACTTTTGTAAAAATATGCAATTTGTATACTGAAAATTGTCCTTTTGTTTTTTCAGTCTCCCTGCAAACACTTCCGTCTAAAGTTTATTTAAGAAAAACAAGTTTAAATATTTAAGCGAATCTCGTCATTTGAGATTTCTTAAAAGAAAGCTTTTTGCTGTTGTTTAATAATTTCTTCCTTTATGAATTGTTGTAGCGTTGTTTTTTTAAAACCTTTTTTATTGATATTATTTTTTATAATTTAAGTATAAAATCCACTGGAAATGGACCATATTTAAGTGGAAAAATGATCAAAATACGTTGGAATTTTTTGTATTTTTAAATGCTACAGGGTCTATTTTGGTGACGGTATTTTCTCCGGTACATTTTTGCTGTATACAAATTTAAATAAAGAAATCTCGAATGTTCCCTATAACATACGTATTGGAAAGCAATCGTCCAATCTCCCACATATGTAAATACATCTAGTTCGAAGAGCAAATCTAGCTATTTCCATTAGTTTCCAGTTACGCAGCTGGTCTACCAACCCGTTTGCATTACAATGCAAACTCACATCAAACTCACCTACACTGCCAAAATATTTTGATAAATTTTTAACTTAATTACAAAACGACTAAGGATGGAAATGTATTATACTGATAAGTATACTTTCATGTGATGTTGTCGGTTCAACACATACGTGCATAGGAGAGTAATAGTATTGATTTTACCTGTGCACATAGGACATAAGACATTGAAATGTCTGGCGAGCGAGATCGTCGGATGAAAGCTCTAAGCGAAATTATTTGCGTAGACGAGAAACTTTTGTCCACTAAGGAGAAAACTTGATTCAGAATTATGAGGAACATTTGCCTAAGTATTTACTCAACTGCAACACTGGGTCAATATAAATTCTTTATTTAAAAGTTTTTTGTTGTTGTATAGAAAGAAAAAAGATACAGACCATGACGTCCTGTACTTTCAGCCCATCATAGTTTTGTATTTTTTTTCAATGTTTTGTTGTTGTATAGCAAGAAAAAAGTACATACAGATCGTGGTGTCCTGTACTTTAAACTCATATTCAAAGAGCATGATATTAAGTGTAGGTACAATTGTGCATAACTGGCTAGTAGAATGTGTTTTATACTAACTTACTTTTTAAATTTTAAATTACTTTTTTGATGAATTTTATTAGGGATACAATTAAATAATATCGAATACATAACTAAAAGGAGTACGAATAGCCCTTTGATAAAATTCCCTCATAAGTAGTGCAAGCCCTTAGTGTGATTTCAACACGTACAAATTAGCCATCCGCTATTTATGAAACGAGGCTTTTTACTTAAGCATT